TAGATCAAAATTGCTTACCCCCATAACTCTTGCAAATTTCAACCGATTTTCAAAAAGTTTGGCTTTTTGTTCGTGGTTTGACTTGTAGATCAATTTGGCATCTTAATCTGGCAACATAATTCTGGGTCAAAATTCATGTGAAAATTGTACACCCAAATATCCTATTTAGATATAGGCCAAAATTGCCCACCCCCATAACTCGGTCCAAACTCAACCGATTTTCAAAAAGTTTGTATTTTTTTTAATGGTTTGGCCTCTAGAATAATTTGACATCTAAATTTGGCAACCCGATTCCTGGTCGAAATTCATGTGAAAATTGTACCCTCAAATATCGTATATAGACATAGGCCAAAATTGCCCACCCCCATAGCTCGGTCAAAACTTAGCCGATTTTCAAAAAGTTTGGCTTTTTGTTCATGGTTTGACTTGTAGATCAATTTGGCATCTAAATATGGCAACACTGTTTTTAGTCAAATTCGTGTCCTATGTAGACATAGGCCAGGCCGGGACAGCGGACAACGCTTTATCGACTCGGCTGCTGATGGGGATCGGCTTCTATTAGTAAATAAATAGAAATTTAGTGGTATACACTATTTCTTGATAAACTTGGAATACCCTCTAAAAATCGAGTACATTTAAATGAAATGCCAGCTAATCCCTTGAGCGACACGCAGTCTGGATTTTGGGCACAGCTGGTTCGGAGAAACCAAAACTAATTTTCGCAGAAACAAACAAAAATATTAGATATATGTATATAATATTACGCTCATAATGCTGGAATATTACATGGTAATTTGGCTGAGATCTGCAGACTCAAACAATGCTCAGATTGGAACAAAAGAAAGGAGCAGCAGATCGGGCATTGTCTGGCTGCGGTTGGGTCAAGTGCGACTTTCCCAGGGACAAAAGAGATGCCAGCGATTGACATGGACAACAATCTCACGCAATACACGAAACAATACTTGACTTAACTAATCGCATTTTCGCAATTTAGCGCCAACCCATAATCCGCACAACCAAAACGATTAATCTAAATGCTGAGGACGAGGTAGAGGGAGAGGACGAGGGATTATCATCAGTTGGTGCTATTGTTATTGGAGAGGCTCGACTTTCAAGCGGAACCGCCCTCTGGCCTATTGTTCGCTATTTTGACAAGGACATGCAACTGGCCAAATGCCGGGCAGGTAAGCGACATGCTAATTGGAAACCTTCGCGTTGCGGGCGTGGTCGATCTTTAGCTGATCTCCGAGCCTGAGACGTCCTTTCGCTGGAAATTGTGGCCCTGATGATGTCGACCTCTTACTGCGGTCGCGTGGCACATCGATCAGCGGTTCATCAGGATCTTGATCGTGGGAGTGGGGGGGCTAGACAAGCAGAAGCCAGCGTCAAGATCAAACGTCATGTTACTGCCGCTGCTGCCTTTTGTCGGCAGGCTCAGCATCTGATCTTTGTTCTTGTCAATTTGTGTGAAATTTTCTTTGGACAACTCTTGACTCTTGCAACTTGACCGGACCGATCATTTGTACATTTTAGCCATGCCCGGCGCTCGACGCCTGCTTGTTTTGGAATTGTTTTGGCCGTCTTCTATAGAAATGCAGCCAAGTGTTTGAATTGATTTTTCTGCCCTACATTGAGTTAATTAACCTTTCGTTGCGGCTTCTCGAAAGTGGGCGGAAGCCACAGCCGGGCTCTGATGGCGGATCACTCAAATGTTGTGTGCATAATGGATGAGTCGAGTGGATCATGCCATACGGAAATTGCACCCAGAGCATGATATGCACTTCCAAGCTGACCTCAATCGCAGCTATATCTCGATCCAGATCTGATTGTCATTGTATACCTATTCTCCTAACTGAGACAACTTTTTCATTCATGACTGAAATGAAGAAGGTATTTACGGCATTCAGAAGATCTGATACCCTTTCAGATATGTTAACTGGAATGTTTTCAGGAAAATCCAAAGCTAAGCGACTTATTATTACTTTAGAAGCTTATATATAGTATACCGATCTGATGTGCTTGTTCGAGTAATTCGATTCTATCTAGAACATATATATGATTGCTATATTGACTCGATATTTCTTTCCCTGTCTTCCCTGTGACACGCCGTTCAGGCTGGATATTTTAGAAAATTCCACCCGCAAGTGTGGAAAAAAGGCGAAAAACGCGTGCATACAACTTTTTGGTTTTCCAGCCGTTCGGCAGCAAACTCATTTTCAAAGACCTTTTGCTCAAATTTATTTGAGGGGTTTTTCACATTTTTTGGAAAATTCTTTTCTCGTATATAATAAGCGTTGTTAGAACCTTTCTATAGCATATCATTTTATTATATTATATTATTATATGTGCAATATTGATAAGAATTTGTTTATATGTACGAATTTACATACACTGTAAAACTCGTGAATGACAAATTTAATTCATGATATCCTGAAAAATAAGAATGTTTTTCTACAAGGATTTTCGATTTTCTCTATGACAGCTATATGATATATTACTTCGATTTGAGACTTTTGGAGTTTTGATAAAAAGCATTATTTCATACATTTAATTATTATTTAATATATTTTTAAATGCCCCCCCCCCCCCCCTTATTTCATCAAATTAGAACTCTTTTTTAATATATATTCCATTCCCCTTTTCATATATAATTTAAATCAAGATTTCTAGAGCGTGCTCAAAGCGAGCGTCTGTTTCTAGGAAACGGCAGCAGCTTCTGCCATAACTTAAGACACACGTCAAGTCCTGCAGCTCTTTGGTAGCCCCCAACCCGGCCAGCATATCCGTTAGGGCCGAGGGTCTGCTGATAGCCGAAATGTGTCGCTCAATTGCAACGTTTTATGTGAATTTATTGACACTTAACCGTGATTTGGAAAACAAACAGAATAACGAGCTAAATACCCACTATTTGGCTGCTGGCAAGGACCTTTGACCCAGAGCAGCAGGTAGCCGGAGCCGCAGCCAGAGCCTGATCCTCAGCCGGAGCTCGAGCGGCGGCAGGCTCTCTTGATGGGTATCATAAATAGTCATCGCATAAATAGCGCGTCCTGTGACATTTATGACTCTATTGCGACTGCCGTTGGGTAATCTGAGTCCTTCTTTTACTGTACACAAAAACTTATCTTAATAAGCATTTAATGGTAGCGGTAAAAAGGCGCACAAACACAGTTCCAAGTGTTGCCGTGCCGAGACATGTTCCAATTCCCCGAGTCCGAGTCCGAGTCCGAGCGAGAAGTGTTAAGTGGGCGACCGATAAGTTCTACAAGCGGCAACAGCTAACCACGGGGGTGCCAAAGATAAAATACCTCCGCCATTTAGTTAGCTGTTATTCAGGCCAATTCATTCATCCAAATTCGAGCAATTGTTGCAATCGATTGACTCAAGCATTCGCTTCAGTTGGGCAAATAAAAAACAAGCAAGATAGGGGATGCCCTGAACCCTCTACTCCCAACATCAAATGCATATATATGGTGACTCCAGCTCTTATTATTAACCAATCAATATAATCATCGAAAAAGTTTGGAATTTCGCACCGACCTCTATTTTGAAAAATAGCGTGATGTTACCCCTTGCCATTTTGTCGATTTGGTTTAAGATTTTTATTTCCTTTTTTTTATGCTTCAATAACAAAATTCTCAGAAAAAGTATTGTTGCTAGATGTAAAAAATAAAATATAAAATTAAAAATATAATAAATAAGTAACAAAGTTTTGATCGTGTGACTTGCTTTCTTAACTGAACCGCAACTCTTTTTGGGCTAACCCAAAGAAAGCGCTCGTATAATTAGTTTGTGTTTGTGACCCAATAAAGCACAATGGCTAAAATCGAAAGTACAACAAAGTAAAACCGCACTTGGGCGAAATTCTTTTGTACGGAACCAAAAATGTGGTGCAGAGCACTTACCGAAGGACCGCTAGACCACAGACATGCAAACCAAATTGGCAACTGGCCAACAATGATGGCCCACACTGTGGTTATCATGAGAGCCAAACGAAAAGAAAAAACAACAATAAAGAATATAACAATTGCGATCGAATAAAATGCAAACATATTGGCGCAAGTATCAACAACAAAAGGTGTCTTTTCTTGCTGTTGTTTTTTTTTGATCCCTGATTGACCTTGGCAACAATAGTTTGACATATTGCATTAAATGTGAGAAGAGTCGGCTATGCTCGACTAGGAGATACCCAGCATCAAGCTGCTGCATCTAAAAGGCAGAGGACTCTGCTTCTGCTTCTTTTCGTAAGCCCATACTAGAATACTTGGGAAATGTTGCCTTGTGTAACTTCGTTTTTTATTGACAGATCTTTATGAAATTTTCAGAGTTTACATATTAAACTCAAAAGTGTGTAAATACCAAAGCGCGCGGCGCTGCCTTTATAATTATGTTTTCTTTTACATTTCAGGAAAATGGAAGGCAATATAAAAAAAGTGAAATGTGTTTAATCTATATATACTATACAAGTATCGACATACCAAGTGTGCTGTATCTAGCTCTTATAGTCTTCGAGTTATGCTTAAATAACACGTCTCAAAATTGAATATTATTTTAAGAATATAATTCTTATTCATAGGCTATGCAATATATATATATATTAAAAACTTCAAGTCTTTGGACAAGTCTTAGTCAGACAAATATTGCCATATATATACAATATGCCTCCTTCGGGCTGTTACATGCACTTGCGCAAAACGATTATATTTTTTAGGGCACAAAAGGAGCTTAAAGGGCCTTAAAGAAAAACTCACATATGTATTTATGACTAGGGAATGGCAGCAAATGGCAGGTCAGACAAAGCAAACGGATTTCTCAAGTGGCAATTAAACGTTTTGACCGCAAGCCAGCCAATTTAGGGCACGGGCTAGGGCCAGGTGAGCGTCAGGTAGACGAGCGTGTTAAAAACAGGATCAGTCCAGCGAATCAGGTAAGAGCAGGCCGCGCAGCCAATCAACATTGAGCGACGCCTGCTGTTGCCGGCTATTTAAGGGCCGGCTTGGGACTGCGTCTGCGTCAGTTATCCTTGGGCTAGCACACACAGCGAACATGTTGACGAACAGCGAGGAGCACTTTATCGAGCACTTCTACTACAGCGCCGAGAGTCTGGAGGCGGCAGCGGACTCGCTGGCCGTTGGCAATTTGCAGGATCAGCTGGAGCAGCTGATGAACCAGCAGCAGGATAGGGATTTTAGTGGCAGCGCGGACAGTCTGTCCGATGGCACCAATAGCTGCTCCCTGGAGCTGTACTATGACACGCCCGCGGTGCTGGAGCTGGAGCAAATGCTCAGCGCGCAGACCCAGCAGCAACAGCAAATGGGCGCCTCCAAGTTCCAGACAAAGGCCGCCAAATACTGGCACAAGACGGCGCGCAACAGACCCTACGATGCCAGCAGCAGCAGCGCCTATCCCAGCGCAGCTAGCGAGGATCAGGAGGAGCGCGACGATTGCGCGCCCGATGTCCTGCGCAAACGTCGGCTGGCGGCCAATGCACGCGAACGCCGCCGGATGAACAGCCTCAATGATGCCTTCGACAAGCTGCGGGATGTGGTGCCATCGCTGGGCCATGATCGACGGCTCTCCAAGTACGAGACATTGCAAATGGCGCAGGCGTACATTGGGGATTTGCTCACGCTGCTCTCCAGGGACTATTGAGTGGATGATGGTGGCTGGTGAGGGGTAGCTGCGGGAGGCAATGCAACCGGGACGTGTTGGAGCAACACTCGAACCTAGTGTCAACTTTAAAAGGCTGTTAGTTCTTAGGCTTAGCTGCTAAACTATTTAATTAAGATTTAATTTAAAGAGTGTTAATAAAAGTTAATTAAGATTCAAAAAACAAAACTAAGATATAAATTTTTATATTTGTAATTTTTTAAATATTTTTGCTCAGCTTTCCAAGCTGGATGGTATTTGCCTGTTTAAACAAATCAAAAACCTTTCAAAACAGTCAGAAAAATATTGTTAAATATTTTTGATGAAGTGGAATTAAATTTCCCAGGGATATTTTTTCCTATGACCATTTATATATTTAACGATAAAAGTGTTGCCAGATTTAATCTGGAGGGCATGAAAAAAAGGGAAAAAGTGAAAAAGAGTCAAACCTCGTGAAAATCGGATGAGATTGGACCAAGTTATGGAGGTGGGAAACTTCGACCCATTTCCACCAAGGAGCGATGGATTTTCCAAAGAGTGCGAAATATGCATCTGATGAAATTTGCCAAAGATCTTTGAAAATGAGTTTGATGCCGATCAGCTGGTAAACGAAAATGTTCATGTAAATAATTTTCGCGATTTTTCCACTCATGCGGCTGGAATTGCCCGAAACCCCGGCTTAACGTGCACGTTCATCACACAAGGTAAGCACATACATTGAAAATTTTATATATAGGGATGAATATATAAATATATATTTGTAAAAAGTATTTACCTGTTATTCCCACGCACGATTGCTTTTTCTTAGAATGATATCACTGATAGAACCGAAAACCCGAGATATTTAACATTAGCTTTAAAACGCAGCTTTTATTTAAAATATAAGATAATATTAAGTTTACAAATACGTACCAGTTTTTTCAATATTATTTTCATATTTAAAATTGATGCCGCCTCCTCTGCCAAAGCGATAGCCACCGTTTCCTTCAATATTAAAGCCGCAGCCTCCACCTCCTTTGCTCAGGTTGCCGTCTTCGCCAAAACTTAGATAGCCGCCTCCTTCACAGTTCAAGCCGTTTTCTTCCAATATTAAAGCCGCCCACTTCTTAGCTCAGTGGTGGGGCATAAGTTGAAGTTAGCTAGAGGTAGACTTGGTCTAGCATATAAACATACAAAATATATGCACACATTAATTGGCATATATAAATGCCTACATAAAATATACATGCATACATACACATGCATACAAACATACGTTAGTACATACAAAGCTGCACATATAGATGCAGACATACATAATACATATACATATGCAACACACAAACATATATGCATACATGCATACATAAATACATGCATGCATGCATACAAACATGTGTACATGTAAACATACTTATGCATACCTACATACATTCGCACGCATGCATACTTGCACACATTCACGTATATTATAAATACATTTCTATATATATATATATACCTTTTACATTTGTACAAACATATATGCAAGCATGCACATACATGCATACATACATTCTAATTTTGACTGTCAACTTTGGCTCAAAGCTTTTAATTTAAACAAATATGAATTTTCAAAAATTATTCACAAATTTTTTAGGCGCTGAGGCTGAAGTTTTGAGGAATAACCAGAACCTGATTGGTTCACCAAATCAATTTTAAATATAACTAAAAATTTTTGGTAATGTCTTTGGTTAAACTCCCATCTAAAGGATATTTAATCTTAATAGTTAGTATAACTAGTCAAATTTAGGGCCAACGATTTGGCTCATTAATTCACATTTGCCGCATCTCTGCGCATCAGTCTTGGCGTACCATATTTATTTCGAAAAAAAAGGTTATCCTTGAGAATATCCTTGGGAATATAACTAAGTAGCGGGCGTAACGCCCACAAGAGTCAAAACAAGCGTTTGCCGACACACGATTGATGAGTTCCGACTTCCGATGCCGACACAGAACCGAAAGCCGAAACAGAAACTGAAACCGGGCTCTTAACTGGAAGGTGATTAAGTGCCGCACACGTCAACAGGTAAACAACACGGCGATCCTTAGATCCTGCACTGAGCAGGACACGAAATTTGATTGAAACACAGAAGAATAAAAGACAACATTTTCGAAATTTTAAATATCACATTATGGTTTGTATTTATACAACTAAATACGCAACACGAAACTTAACTTAACTACGCTTAAGCATAATATATAGACTAAGATTTAGTATATATAACTAGCATACTATACAACTACACATATGACTTTGCCGCTCAACTGAGTCTTTCATATATAAATATTTATTTTTTTTAATTTCTTCACAAATAGTTTTAGTTTTCGCATTTGACGATATGATTTTTGTATTGCTTATGGTTTTGTACTTAGAGATTATAAGAGGTCGAGTTCGAGTTCGAGATTTGGACGTCAGATTTGTCTAAACGAAACTTAAGCTTCTGTTCGGCATAGCCCACCCAAAAAGTCAAGAGTCCTTGAATAGATCTAGTTTTCGGAAAGAAACTTGAATCAGTCTTGAAGTCAGTTTGGAATATGTCAAATTTCACGCTCCAAAATGGAGCTCAGTCATTCCAAATAGTTAAGTCGAAAAGATCTTTAAGGATCGTCCTTGTCTATGAGCTAGGCCCCCCTAACAGTCCTTTGTGTTGAGTAAATATTTAAAAGAAATCAATCTTTATTTAATTTGAAATTCTTTTAACGAGATTTTATGGTTTTGTTATTACCGAACAGAGGGTTATTATTTTAAATATTTCTTGTATGTGTAAACATTTAGTGAAGAGCATAAAACTTTGGCATGACCGAAGTTTATATAGTAGATACAATTTAGTTACTAATATAATTACATTTATATATATTTACAATATGCTTCGCTTACGTCTAGTGCTGAAAACTAAAAGCAATGTTTCAAGTTAACTAAATGTTAGGCATTTATATTTTAATAGTATATAAGATCTATGAGCTAAGGCAACTGTAAACTTAAAAACATTCTTTTTTTTATAATTTGTTACTAAACAAGTCTTGAAAAGTTTTCCTCTTTTTTTAGTGTGTTGTGAGAGCAATTTGAATAGAGAGAGAGAGAGATTTGGATCGTTGAGCTATTAATAGACTATAGGCCACATAGGAAATAAACAGAGTTGACTAAATTTCCACTTTGGCACATGGGTTGAAAGATTGTAAAAGACAAATCTTTTTATAATTTTTATCAATGCAACTTGATTTGATTCGGGGAAGACCCAAGGAAACCCAAAAATTCACGTACTGAAGACCGTAGATGCATTTTATTGAACGTGCCATAAAATAAACGCCTGAAGGCTTGACTCTGAATATTGCTTGATAGTTTAAATGTGCCCAACTAGTATTGCGTATAAGAATTTGCTTTACATTATATAAATATGTATATATATATTTTTGATATATATAATTAATACATAAGATCGAGACAATATTTTCGTTTTGGAAGGAAGGGAGACAAGGCGCTAGACTGTCATGAATATAATATATATAAAGTATATTGTGTTTATCAGGAAATTGTACAACTTTATGCTTATGCATACTGTTGCGTCCAAATCGGCTTCTATATAGTTTATTAAATAGCCAACGATCCGCAGTTTAAAGCATGTTAATTAAAACTAAGCGTGTATTTCTGTTGTGTTTTGTGTTGTGTGCGGTCTCTATACGCATCGTAAGGCTAACTCCAAATGAGATAAAGTCAACTAACAACTAAAAACTTTGCACTTGCATACGCGTATGTGTGTGTGTGTGTTTTGTGGGTGTGTGTGTGTAATTATATATGTGGTATGTTTTATATAGAAGCTATAATACGTAATTACATCCAAGGTTTACCACGCATGCGCCCACGTCCGCCGCCACCGCGCATGGGTCCACCGCCTCGAAAGAACGGTCGCGGTCCTGGCCCGCCATCAAAGGGTCCTGGCATGCGCTGATAATTGGGCCTATATGGTCCCGACCAGCCGCGACCGCGTCCACGACCGCGACTCATATTATCCGGACTATTGCCAAATGCCTGAAAGGGAAAGGGACCACCCGTAAATGGCGGCCTCGGCGGCGGCGGCGGCACACCGGCTGGCCCATTGTTGCTCTCATTGCCGTTCCAGGGTATGGGCGGTTGCATTTGATTCCACGACTGTTGCTGTGGCGGCAACGGTGGCTGCTGCTGCTGTTGTTGTTGTGCGTCGGCGGCCTGCATGTCCTGCATGTTGCCAGCTCCAGTTGCTCCAATAAAACTGTTGTTAGCATCCCATTGAAATTCCTGCGGCGTCTCCAGCAGCACGGGACGCGGCGTTAAAACGCCATTAGCATCCAATTCGCCATCGGTATTCTCCAGCTGCAGCTGCTCCGGATTGGCATTGAGTTCTGCATGGAAAATTGTTACATATAAACCTTGCGAACTAAAACTAAGCAATTAATTGAACGCCGGCTGCCACCATTACCTAGCTGCGACTCTTCCAGGTCCTCGTCGGACATGTCCATGTCAATAACCATATCTGCGGGATCATAACGTGCCGAACCATCCACGCGATCCGACTCTGAAGAGGAACCTGCATGCAATCATTGGGTGTTAACTTGATGTCTATCTATATTTATTTAACAATTAGCTCTTACTCGCATTGGATTTCTGCGGCGAGCTGGTCTTCTTCACATAGCTGCCCGGTGGCGCCATCATGGGTGAATTGTTGCCCAGACTGCGAATAGCACTGCCGGCCTCCTCGGCTTTCTTTGTTGGCGCTGTGCGATAATCGACATCTCCGCCGGCACCGCCAAAATCCTGCAAGACAATACATTTTAATCCGAAAATTTATAGACGTAAATTTGTTTAAGTTGTACAACAAAACAAGGATAAGCCTTTAAATATGTCGAAAGTAATTATTTAACTTTAACTAATCCTCGTGCTTTTTCTACTCTTCATATTTAAATACCATTCGCACCTTTTCTGCCCCACCGGGCGAGCCAGTCAACGATATTAAATTTCTATGATCAATGTCCACCAGTTGTCGCGTTTGCTCGTCGCTCAATGCTGACTTGGGCCGAAAATTGAATGCCGGCGGCAGCTGAACCGTGCGATGATCCACATCCTGTGCACCCAGGCCGGAGACATTGTGATGCTC